ATTTCCAAGATCAATTTCAAAGCTGAGAAAGAATTAACTCAGCACAGTGTAAAGTGGGATCAGTTAAGCTATGAGAATCACAGAGAGGTATTTGGACAGATTTTTAAAGTGTATTGAAACAGATGACATATACCCATTCATTAAGATAATAGTGAGCGCACAGTGGGAAACATCCTCCTCTTCCAAATGTCATTGAAACCCTGTCATCCTTAAACTTAATTCTCACCAATTAAACCATCCTGATTCTGTGAAATTACACCAGAAATAGAATCTGTGTAGTGTTGGGGAGGTATGCATGTATGGGTTGTATGAAAGTGTGATGTGTGTGGGGATGCCAGAAGACAACCTCAGGTGTTGTCTTAGTTAGGGTTACAATTGCTGTGATGAAACAACATGACTAAAGTAACTTGGAGAGGAAATAGTTTATTCAGCTTATGCTTCTATGTCCCAGTTCATCATCAAAGCAAGTCAGGACAGGAAATCAAACGAGGCAGGAGCCTGGAGCCAAGAGCTGCTGCAGAGGTCATGGAGGAGTGTTGCTTACTGGTTTGCTCATCATGGCTTGATCAGCCTGCTTTCTTACAAAACCTAGGACGACCAGCCCAAGGATGGCACTACCCAAAAGGCACTGGGACCTACACCATTGATCACCAATCAAGAAAATGCTTTACAACTGGATCTTATGGAAGCACTTTCTCAATTGAGCCCCCCTCCTCTCTGACATCTCTAGCTTGTGTCAAGTTGACAGAAAACCAGCCAGTACAGGTGCTGTTCCTCAAATGTGTCAACCATTCTGTTGAGGCAGAGTCTCACTGGCCTGGACCTCACTAAGTAGGTGAGGCCAATTGACCAGCCTGCCCCAGGGATCTAACTGTCTCTACTTCCTTGAAACTGGGATTTGAGATGTCCACTCTCAGCTTTTTGTGGTGTGTCAGAGATCTGAACTCATATCCTAATGCTTGTGTAGCAGGCATTTTACTGACTGAGACATCTCCCAGCTATCTCTATCTCTATCTCTATCTCTATCTCTATCTCTATCTCTATCTCTATCTCTATCTCTATCCCTTTCCCTTTCCCTATCCCTATCTTTATCTATATCCATATCCATATCCATATCCATATCTATCTATGTCTATGTCTATCTCTGTCTATTTATACAATTCATTTTATTTTATGTGTATGGTTGCTTTGCCTGCATGCATGTATGTATACCACATGTAGGCCTGATACCTCTGGAGACCAGAAGAAGGCATTGGATCCCTGTAACTAGAGGTTACAAATGGTTGGAGCCACTGTGTGGGTGCTGGGAATTGAACCCAGGTCCTCTGCATAAGCAATATCTCCACCCAACTCATTATAATTTTTAACAAAAATGGTTACCACGGTATTCAAAAATATAGTCCTCGCTGCTAAAAAAAATAAAAATAAAAAAACAGTGTCCTAGTATAGCAACATTATCTGATGTAAATTAACACTAAAACATTATTACATAATGAAGCAGCTTAAAATAAGAAACAAAAATGTACCATAAACTGGGAGTGAACAGTCAACTGATAGGGTAACTTTTTAAATAAAATAATTATGAATGTATACTGTCATTTAAATAATAAGAATCATAAGTGGACATTTATTTGTAACTTGAATATAACCTCACACCTTAAAACATAAATCATGGCTCTATTTTGGTATAGGTTAACATGACATATCTTTAACTTTTGATTCAACTTTTCTGGAAATCATAAAAAATAAGTCCGTATCACTTTGACCAACACAGGGTACTTACATAAATTTGACGGAATGTAGTTTTGTGAGTATTTGCTTTAGCTGTGTTACTTAGACCATTTGCTCCTTTAGCATCTATTTTGGTCATTGTCCTTCCAATTTACTGGCCTGGCTCATCTAATAACCGTGTTCCTCAGTGGTTTTGTCTTAGAAAGTAACTTCCCATACTTCATTAAGTTCTACATCTTCATCAAATTTGAACTCTTTCTTTATAATAGACATGCATTCATTCTAATTATGGGATAGTTGTGTTTTGGGTTAAACTGTATTAGTCAAATATAGCATTGAATCTTTTAGATGAAATGAAAGAGTGGTAGTGACACTGGAGGAGGACTCTGTGAGTACCCACTGAATACACATCTATTATATGTATTATTTTCTTCTTACTCAACCCTATGACATTAAAGATTTTAAAAACAAACATGTAGCAAAAGTGTTTCTTTTAGTTTGAAGGTTAAGGTGGCTACTGAAGGCGTAAAGATTATGAAGTTATCTCAAATTTGCATATGTAATAAGCATTGAAGAAAACTATAAGCCTTCACTAAATTT